CACACACACACACACACACACACACACACACACACACACACACACACACACACACACAGGTAACCAGGGAACTCAGGCTGACTGGCTTCTCTCAGGTGATGCTGTTACCTTGACAACCGGCTGCGCAGACGGCATCATGGCTGCTGGTGGCTGCGGGGTGGAGACGGGGGGCGTGGCCGGGACCGGTGTGGGCGTGGTCGAGACGACAGGTGTCTGAGACGGGGAGGGGGAGGGGTAGGAGGGTGGGGGGGAGGCTGAAGACTCCGCCTGCTGACTCACTGAGGAAGACAGGAAACTGTTAGCTTAGCATGGGTTCTGTGGGGTTCTAAAGGGTTCTGTAGGGTTTTAAAGGGTTCTGTGGGGTTTTAAAGGGTTCTGTGGGGTTCTAAAGGGTTCTGTGGGGTTTTAAAGGGTTCTGTGGGGTTCTAAAGGGTTCTGGGAGGGACCAGCTCACCTGTGGTGGCGGCAGGCTGTTTAGTTTTGTTCTTTCCTTTCGGCGCCGGCGGCAGCAGAGCCACTTCCTCCTGCGGCATCTGAGCCACTTTCTGCAGGAAGATTTTCTCTAAAGCCTGAGCCATGAGGACGATGTCATCTGTGGGCTGCAGACACACAACACATCAGGTTAGAGTTAAACACGTTCATCTGTATTACTGCACTGGACATCGCCTGTTAGCCTCTACAGCTAGCACCGCCACAAGAGCCATTACTGAATCATGTCAACAAAGACGTACAGTTCCTGTGTGGGAGGCGCATCAGTCTGTCACAAACACATTCCTAGTGCCTTTATTTCTTCTCAGATTTTGAGAAAATATGGTTTGAATGTGTTCTAGAAGGATTTGACTTTTTTCTTCTTTTGTTTTGTTTTAGGTTAAATGAAGATTAGTATTGTTTAAGTTTATTTTTTGGGGGAAAAGGGGCAGATATAAGATTTTTTTTTTCTCCGCTTCCTTTCATTTCATTGTATTTGTGTTTTTCTATTTTTTATTGTACATAGAATTGATTTGTTTTAAAGAAATGAATAAAGTTTTAAATAAAAAAATATATATATACACCATGCATTTTATTACTGCTTGAATTTATTTTTGGGAATAAAGGAGTAGATTTATTAAAATTTGTTCTTTTCTCCGCTTCCTTTCATTTCATTGTATACGATTTTTCTCATTTTGTTTTAATGAAAGAATAAATTAAAATAAATAAATGATTTTAGGTGGATAAT